ATGTGACTCTTGCCAATAAGGATGTAATAATTAAAGATATGCATTTTAGGATCTTTGGGATTATAGCCATACATTATACTCAAGTCATCAATTAGCAAACATTCACTACTGTGATTTTTCCACCAGCTTATTACTTTAAACCAAAACCATTGAATTACAATACAGTTAACTAGCATATGGGATAGCGTTTCTAACGAATCACAATGTATGTAATGTATATTTCAGGTGTTTCTTGAAGGGATCATGTTTCCTGCACGCTGGGCAGATCAACAACTTGAGCATTTTGGATGTAGATGTCATTCTGTTTGGGTTGTGGTTGATTGGGTCTCCACTGTATAGGAATCTTGCTGAACTTGTATCAAACATATTTTTGTCTGCTTGTGTCTTTTGTAGATGTTTAGCCGCATATCTGTTGCCATAGTGAGGTCTGACGCCGTGACNACGATGTTAAGTCTTAACTTTGCCCATATGTCACCACTCTACAACAACATTCAAATTGTCATGCTTTTCGATTCACACTGAACAAGAATGGCGAGGTGGAGATGTGTTACTGGCCTTGGGCGAAGTCGGCCAGTAAAGAATGGTTGTCAAAGGAGGGGCCTATCGCTCTCTTGCGGCAAGTACCACCAGGTAGACCTGCGTTACTAAAACCTGCATTACTAAAACCTGATCTGAGAAATGTGCTATGGTCAAAGATATCAGAGATAATGTGGAAAAGCTCTGGGTCAGGATGACAACAGCTCAACTCGAGTGGTGGAAAGAAATGGCAGATAAAGAGGCCAAAAGAAGGAACTAGCAGGAGGCGCTCAAACCAGAGGATTATTGTAGCTGGCGAATTGTATGATTTATTCAATTTCACATTCAAGCATGCTGACCTGGATCCAGAAGAAGACAATGAATATGGGAAGAGGAACAAGAAGCTTTAGCAATTACTAGCAAAAAGAGAAAATCAAGTACCAGTACATTGATTAGTCACATTTTGTTACTTCAATATAAAGGCCATGGACACCTTTGATTAAAAATTATTTAAATTGCAGACGTCATGTGGAGTGGCTGACAAACGTGCCAATATGTTATGCAGCAGAACCATTACAAAATCCCTACTAATCATTCTACTAAATTTTGTTGCAGGCAGGGAGTCATTTATTGTAGGCATGAGCTTTTTTT